ATGATAATAATAATAATAATTAATAAATATATATATATATATATATATATATATATATATATATTAGTAGATAGTGTTGGATTGGAGGCATGGAGGTTTCCTTGAACCTAGAAGTTTTATGTAACACAAACACAACACATGCACGTTCCTGATTGAAAGCACATGCAGGTCACGTGTGTGCCACGTTGTCTCTTCTTTTTAAGTGGGTTTTCCAATGACCAATAGACTGTGTGCGCCCTTCCCTCTCACAGGATTTCCCTCACCTTTTTCTTTCCCTCTCACACACTCAATTTCTCTCACCAAACTCAACTTAAAGCTTCTTCTGCGGTTCGTTTAGTTTCTTTTCCATCAAAAACGTATCTTTCCATTTTTTGACATGTTCCTACTTTCCCTGCTCATCAACCTCCTTTAGCCATTCAAAATAATAGGAGTGGAAGAAGAAGAAGGAACATAAGCACAAGCACAAGCATAAGGAGAAAGAAAGCTAGAAAGAAGATCTTTGATGACCCACTTTGCTAAATTCAAGGCCAAATAGTCTAATGTCTATTTTAGCATTGAAAAAAGAGAGAAGATGATGATGCTGACCACAACTGGCACCTAGCTTCAAGGAACTTTGTGCACTTAGCGCGCACACACACACACTCACTCTACACATACTGCATGCCATGCCCTTATCTCGAATCCTCATGTGAATCTCGCACACCCGGGATTATCGGGTACCTCAAACTCCTTCACACAATTCTCATCACCATGCCCTCGTGTCATAACACCAACAACAACCTCAACCTCAAAGAAGGTCTCACACAGAACCACAGCAAGACTAGGAAACGAGGTTGCTCCTCCTCCTCTTCCTCATCTCTTGTCAGAAGATACCGTTTCAAGAGGGCCATTTTGGTTGGGAAGAAAGGAGGGTCCAGCACCCCAGTTCCCATGTGGAAGACCAAAACAACTTCTCCTTCTCTTCCTACACACCACACCAAGCCTTTGCATTCTTCTGCCTCCATGTTACCCTCCTCCAAGGACAGGGAGCTTTCTGTGTCAGCCAGGAAACTCGCTGCTACACTCTGGGAAATCAATGATTTGCCTCCTTCCCGGCTCAAGAAGGAGTTCGAGGTTGATCAAATGAGAGGCTGCAAGGAGAAGGGTAGAGGCAGAGAGAAAGGTTCGGGGTTGTCCAGATCGGGCTTTTTGCGGTCACAGATGTCAGATCCATCGCATAGTCCTGCCTCTGAGGTAAATTCGTGTTAAAGTTCTGTTTTTTCCTTATGTTGCTTCATTGGGTGTGGCGTGATTTTTGGGTTGCCTCTGTTCGTGCAGAGGATGAAGGGTCTTGAAGGGGATAGCTGCAAAAGAAGAGTGTCGGGGTTTTCTCATCAGCTTCTGTCGGGTGATTACTATTTGGATGCTCTGGATGCTCACAGCAATGATAATTTAATTGAGGTAAAGAGTGAATTTATCAGACTAATTGGAAATTTGGTAAGCATAAGTTGTTGGTCATCGTTTTCACAAAGTTCTTCCGGTTGTGTTTATTTATTATTTTAATTGGGGGGTTTATTTCATGGACCACATAGAAGATAGGTAGATTATGTAAGGATCCAATTTCAAGACAAGACATGAGACTAGAGTCCTTTATTGGAAGTGCGGGATTTTAGTGTGGGGTTTATTAGGCTTTGGGCTCTCCTAGACGTGAGACTTTTTGTTGTGTAGTTCATTCTTATCAATTGGTATGTGGGGATGTGGTGAGGTGTGGGGTTCATAAGGACTTGGATTTTCTCACTAGCTTTTGGTGTGATTCTCCCAACCCTCTTATCAATACAAATTGTGCCCATGATGTCTTTTAAATTGTTTACAAGGATTCTGTCTTAAAATATAGTGAATTGTCTGAACTTTCAAGTTACAACGATGAACTTACTGCTCCTAAATTGGAAATCACAAGTTTAAAGATTAGACTGTTATTGTTCATTTTGAACCTTTATTTTATGCCCTTTACATGGTCTCCTGTATCTAGATTAGATATTTCAGATTTTCATTTCAATTGAAATAGTAACGACAAGAAACTTTAGATATAGATCTGATTAATTAAATAATTTATAATTTTGTTGCACATATCGGTGTTTTGTTCTTTTGCTTCTGTTGGTGGGAAGGATGAAACTGAACTATGTTGAAAAGTTGAAACGCAGGAGGTGGAAAATCAGTTAAAAAGCGAGAAGAATCGTGGCAAACGCAGTGGTGGTGTTAAGAACCGTCTGAAGGAAGCTAGAAGTGGATTATCTACATCGAAGAAGCTTCTGAAGGTGTTAAATCAAATGTGCCTTAGAGAGCAGCAAGCATCAAGCATGCCCCTTGTCTTGGCTCTGGGGAGTGAGCTTGATCGAGTGTGCCACCAAATTGATCAATTGATCCAAGAACAGCGTTCAAACCAGAACGATATGGAGTATGTCATGAAGCATTTCGGAGAAGAGAAGGCTGTTTGGAAAAGAAGAGAACGAGAAAGGGTTCATGATGCCATAAAGCATGTGGCAGAAGAGCTTGCGGTGGAGAAGAAGTTGAGAAGGCAAACTGAACGGTTGAACAAGAAGATTGCCAAAGAGATGGCCAGTGTAAAAGCTTCCCATTTGAAAACATCCAAAGAGCTTGAAAGGGAGAAGCGTGCAAAGGAGATTCTGGAGCAAATTTGTGATGAACTGGCTAGAGGCATCGGGGAAGATAGAGCACAGGTGGAGGAACTGAAAAGGGAATCGGCTAAAGTTCGCGAGGAGGTAGAGAAGGAAAGGGAAATGCTTCAGTTAGCTGATCTCTTACGCGAAGAGAGAGTCCAGATGAAGCTTTCAGAGGCTAAGTATCAGTTTGAGGAGAAGAATGCTTTCCTGGAAAAGCTGAGGAATGAGCTTGAGGATTATGTGAGGACTAAAGATGGACAAAATGAGGATGTTTCTCCAGAATGTAAAAATATCAAGGATCTTGAGTCTTATTTCAACAATGTCTGTAGGGGATTCCAGAATGCAGAGAAAGAGGATGATTCAGATGTTGAAAACGATGTAGGACAAGGAAGAGATGATGACTCAGATGATAGTGATCTCCATTCAATTGAGTTGAACATGGATGATGCCAGCAAAGGCTACAAGTGGAGTTTTGCGAGTGAAAATGATGGTCAAGACAAGAGATTTTCAATTGAAAAAGAAAGTATAGGGAGAAAGTCTTTCTCTGAGAAAATTCAGTGGGGAAGTATTTGCTTCAACAAGGGAACTTCAAGTGGTAGGAAGAGGGATTTTTCCATAAATATTCAGGAAGTTTCTGATCATTTTGATCCTGATAGGTCGATTGAATTTCTCTCACAAGCTCGGATACAAGAAGATAAGGATGAAACTCAAAGCAAAAGGTCAATTAAGGGGCTCCAAGACTCTATCTCATGTGCTAATTCTGATAAGATAACTGGTAGACTATTAACTTTGCAGTGTGCTGGTGGAGAAGCTGGGGAAAAAGGTCTTGCCCTGGAGGATGACAATTTGAAGCAAGAAATTGCAGGAGAAAAGTCTTGATGTTGAGAATTTTGATAGTGGTAGTGAGTAACTTATTATCACAGATAGCTTCTACTATATCTGTTCTAAACTGTAAATGCTGTCTTTGATGAGTTAAATATGTTCAAGGCTCTTATATCATTGTTATGTGTGGTAATTGTTAAAGCCAGAGCAAGAAAAAAAATGTACATACTGAATAGAGTCGCATACTGCAGTTTTGTGCTAGTTAGTACTAGCTTTACTGGCATTTGATGTACAAGTAAATGTTCCTATTTGAATATTCAGCCGACATATCTATAAAAGAAAAGAAAGAATCTAATTTGAACAAGTTGTTAATAATCCACCAGGACGAAAATTGCTGGCAAACAATGTCATTGTCACACATGGAATTTAATTTTCCTCAGTTCCAAAAGGAAATAATGGAGGCTTTTCGGCTTGACATTAAAACAAATGAGATAAGAACAAAGAGTCTGCTGCTAAAAACTATTCTGGGGACACAATTATACGTTAGAGAGATGCATAGTTGTGATTTAAATGAAACAGTACTGGCCGTGACAGCGTGACGGATAACATTATCATTGGATACTTCCAACTCCAACAATTCAAATATTTGAATTCTGTACCCTGTGTTGCCTCTGTTTGGAACTTTGAATCAACCATCGTGTGGTGGGCCATGATGGATATTATTTGACAACAACGGCTTTAACTTTTCCAAAACAAACGTTTCCAGTATTAATGGGTTCCTAGCACCTTCTTCTGTTCATATTAATTGTGCTACTATTTCTTGAAAGTATACATGATGATTTATCACCACATGGTAAACTTTATGTGGATCAAAGAATCGTAGGCACTCAAAGGAATCTGTTTAGTAACATGCTTCTGTTCTGCCACTTTCTATTGTTTGTTTATGGAAGTGAAAAAAAAATGCGTGTTAACGAATTAATAGAGAAAGAACACATTAAATATCAAGCATAAAACTAATTTCAACCAAAATAATTTTATAAAAACTTTTTGGTTCGAGCAAAAGTACTTTTATAGAAAGGCTCTCTTTGTACACAATTGTTTAACATTCATTTTAGTTTTTTTTTTTAAAAGCTGAATTTTGAAAACCTTATTTTGGTGTCTGAATTTATCCTTTTAATGTCGCCATATAAACCAAACCAAAATGCAAGAGCTTACAGTACAAGCTAAAGCCCAAACAACTTCCATATATGAAACACAAACGTTAAAATACAAAGGGGTCAGGTTCAGAAGTTGCTGAGCATGAAAGAAAGACACTACTTGGTGTTGTCCTCAATTTTTTTAGATGTTGATGTAAAAGTGACTGGATTCGTTGGATGGTCCTTTACAGTCAAGCTAAGCACTTCTGGCCTTGAATAGTGTCCAACCACATCAAAATCGAACTTAGCTCTTGCTATTTCTCCAAGATCTGTTCAAAATTTTCAAGAATCACAGCGTTAATAGCTTTCAATAACCAAAGAGAAAGAAAGTGGTCACACAGAGAATATCTTAACCAATCAAAAACAAGCTCAGCAAATTCCAGAATGAAGAGTTTGAGGGAAAAAAGTGAAATACTATGGAAGATTGAAGAAGTAATTATTATTACTATTATTATCAGTTAGTTACAAATCAATCTCACTGCCCACCTAATACCTCAAACCCTTTATTTATACTAGGGGAAAGAGACATTCTGTTAGATTTATAGTAGTTAAAAGAGGTAAAATAAGTAAACAAAATAGGGTATCCCTTTGCTATTGTTATAGAGTTATAGACATTGTTATTTATATATTGTCTAACTACCATCCTTTCTAATTATCTTTCTAACTATACTATATAGACATTGGTATAGAATTATAGGGTATCCCTTTGCTGTTTTCTTTTGGTACATACCTTTAAAACCCTTGTTCCCCAACAAAAACATCATCAAAGAAAGTAATACTCTTCTGAGCATTGTAAGACAATGGAAGCAGCTGGAGTAAACATGACATACCAAGGTCTGCTGAGATTAGTGCCTCCCCATCATAATTTGGTCCAGCCAGAATAGCCCCTGATGGTGATATAATGACACTACCCCCAGCACATACAACAAAATCAGGTGTCAGGTCCTCTTCTGTGCCAGCAAAAACATACTCTGGAGGGGGAGGGTAATCCCTTCTCCTACAGAACTGGTTTGCTGACAAAACAAAACATCCACCTTCAAGTGCAATGTGGGTCATTGATGCTTGCCACACATCCCTGGCATCAGCTGTAGGAGCACAGTATATCTCTATACCTATTGCATGGAGAATTAATTAGAATGTCTATGTACAAATGAGATCTAATCATGAATTGTCATGATTAAAATTATTCACTGTTGCAATAGATACTCTAAAAGTCATACTTTTTAAAGCTTAATTTCTATGCAATCATAGTGTTAAAACTTTGACTATGTTAGCCAATAAAAAATCACAGTCAGTGTGTTTTTAAGCTAATTAGGGTAATAGTCAGCAAACTTATCATACATAATTTGTTATTGGATGACAGAGTAAATATTCTTTACACTGTCAGTGGATAGATTATTTTCTCTATTTTAAATTGGTTGACAGTGAAACATCTTTACATTAACAAATCCCCAAAGCATTAGAAAAAGCATAAGAACAGTGTAAAAGTCTTTCACTCTATCATCTGATAACAAATCGTCATGGTAAATTTGTTGATTTTAATAGTAACTATGTTAAACATAGTAGCAAAAATAATTTCTAATTAGATGATACTGTAAAAACTTTTTTTACACAAAACATGATAGCACACTATACTTGTGAAGAACCAGTCCCAATACAAGAAAAAGCACCTTTAAACGCTCTTCTTTAATGCTACAACACTGAGTGTAACAAGAAGATAGAAAACTAAAGAACTCCAACCTTTGGCATACATTGCAGTCCTTAATAGTGGCATCCTGTTTTCCCAACAAATGGCAGCACCTATCTTTCCAATGGGAGTTTCGAACACGGGAATGGTTGATCCATCCCCAAATCCCCAGATAATCCGCTCCAATGCCGTTGGCATGATTTTCCTGTGCTTTCCCAGGTAATGACCTTGAGAATCAAAGAATAGAACGGTGCAATAAAGTGTGTAGCCATCCCTCTCTATCACACCCATCACTAAATGTACTTTATACTTGCCTGCCATTGTTGCTAATCTATCAACTTCAGGACCTACAACAATTCAACATTTGTTAATGGAAACACTAACTTGGATCTTTAAAACTCAATGAGTAATATTTACAGGGACATGGTTTTTTTGAAATATTGTCATTCAAAATCAACGAGTAATAATTTCAGGACCTACAACGATACAAAATTTGCTAATAACTTCAGGGACTTGGGTATGTTGAAGAATTTTACTACTAATAATTTTTGTTAAGACTTTTATGACTAAGATTTTGTTGTATGAATTTTATTGGAGTTGTATATACCAATTTAAAAGATTTGAAAGGACATGGTTTTATAATATTTGAAATTATTGGTAATCCAAGGGGGAGAAGCAAAACGAGATCTTCACTAAAGGACCATGAGCCAACCATACAAATGTGATTGGCAGACCCAAAATCTTATATGTTTTTCAATTAACAAATTTCCCTTTTAAGTATCCTCCATTGATTTAATACCATTTATTGGGAATCTAATGGGAAAAACGACGAGAAATCTTCACCAATGTACTATGAACCAACCACACAAGTGTGTTTGACACCATCATAATAAAAGATCCTTGAGGCATTAAGTTTGAGAGTTTTCTTCAGTTATATGTTTCTCAACTGACAATCTGCCGTTCAATGTGTCCTTCATTGTACTTGTTTGAGCTTATTAGAAATTGAAGTGGAAGAAAGAGATTCACTCACGAATCATGATGAGAACCTTGGGAGGTTGTTCCAAGATGTGGACTGGTTTAACATATGGATTTTCTCCGTGCTTTAGTTTTGATAGCACGAAACTTTGTTAGATATCTTAGATTATTAGATATCTTATATTTATCTTTTATTATAAATAAAGTACCTTATATGTATTTTCTACATAAGGGAAATTAATTTCATACATAGTTTTTCATTATATTCTTAACATGGTATTAGAGCCATTGTTGGAACCCATCCTAGCGAAATTTGTTGTTTATTGGACATATTGTTCCGCCCGCTATCAGCGTGAGAGGGATGGTTGGAAGTCCCACATTGATTAGAGATAAGACCAATTTACAATATATAAGTGGGTGTGAACCTCCTTTTATAAGCCAGTTTTATGAAGTTAAATTAGGCTTAAAGTCCACTTCTTAACATATATCTAGAGCCTAAGGTTCTTTTGAAAATTTTTCCAACCGATTGAAGTTTGCACTATGGGTTTAACCTATATTTCTTTCATTATAAAGTACTCTATATGTATTTTCTACACAAGGAAGATTAATCTCATGCATAGTTTTTCACTATATTCAATAATAAAATTATAATACATAGTTTTTCAATATATTCAATAATAAAATTATAACTCTGTGAATATTAACTCAGTAAAAATTATTTTTAAGGTTCCTAGATAGTCTCATAGTATCATACTGTCTACTCTACATCAGATTGTGACTTCCTTCATCTATCATTTGAGAGTCTTCCTACTTGACTTCAAGTTCAGCGGTGGGAGCATGGTTCATGTGACATCTCCACTGGTTTAGGCGATATTATGCAAGTTAGTTATGACAGTTATTTCAGTATAAATAAGACCTTGTATTAACTGTTTTAACCAATCTGAGAGTTCAGAGTTTACTTAGAGAGAAACTTTGAGTTGTAATCTTTATTTAATAGTGAATTTCTCACTATAGACATAAATTGAATTTCGTTAATACTTCAACTGAACCACATTATTTTCTTTGTGTTTCTTGTATAACCATCTAGTTGTTTTTCGTGGGTTTTCTCTGATATTGTGTTGTTCTTTTGTGTTGTAGACGGTCTAGTGAGCTTGTTTGAGCTATTTCCACAACAAACTAAAAAAAAGAACTACAAATTGAAAGGAACTCAAAACGACCACACACGTGAGTTTGACATTATACACAACCCAAAACCCAAGGTATTATTAATTTTGTGGGTTTTCTTATTTATATATTATTCAACTCGTCTATCTTTATCTATTGTGCAACTTCCTATTCACATTACACTCAAATAAAACAACTATATGAATTTAAAAAAAGAATTCAAAATTTCTAGAGGTAGTGAAAAAAAATCAAGGTTAAAACAAAGTAAGACTAATACAATATTTTCAACCTTTTAATAGGTAAATCTTTATAGACACCCTGTTCTCACGTATTCTGGGATGATTCATGCAACGAAAAACCTATATTTGATTCCACCGTGTGCAAAAACTCGCTGAACCAACGAGTATTGGGAAGGATTAGTTTTTAACCTAGTAGGTTAGGGAAAACTGGTAGTAGATCAAAAATAAAATCCTCTTTTCCTTAATATTTTTTTTGCTTTAGTTCTTAGGCTTAAACAACCGTTTGAAAAACTTATGCTTATGTCAGTAATATTGAAGATATAGATAATAATTCAGTAATTAGTTAATTGGAAATTCATCATAACTATTTTGCGAAGAAAGTTATCAAATAATGCATGATTGTTTATATAATGTAATGACAGAAAGAAAAATCTAATAACCGATAAAGAAAGAGAATAAAGGAAAAGCAATACCAGCAAATTTCATTGTAAGGAACAATACATGTAATTGACAATTGTAAATATCATTAATATGCATACCAAACATAAATACTAAATGATAATTCCAATTAAATCCAAATAAAATTTAAATAATCTCAAAAATTAATTCAACATGTTTATTTTAAAATAAAAACTCAAATAGGCAAATACATCTTAAATTTAAAAGAACATGCTAATTGAGAGATTTTGATTTTGAGAGAAAAAAAAAAGTGAAGGAGAAGGAGAGCTCGAGATATTGAAACTGTGAGAATGTGTGTTTCCTCACCCCATTTATTTTAATTGTGTTGGGCTTGGTATTTTTGGTCTCTATATTTGGTGATCTTTTATTTTTTAATCGATGTGATCCTTGTATTTTTTAAATAGACTCATCCTTAGATAGTTTTATTTAGAAGAAGATGAATTGACATCTGCTAAAATAATCACCCGTTATTTTTCAGGTGTTTTTGTTCAATCCAAGTTTATTGTTCAATCTCAAGGGTGTGATATAAGAGGAATGGCGCTAACTTTGATTAGGTTCAATTTCTCTGCCTTGAGAAAAAAAAAAGAAAGAAGAAGATAGAAACACGAAGGCAGAAATTTAGCAGTAATCAGATGTCAGTTACAGACACAGTAACATCAAACATCTGATAAATACAATTTCAACATAAATATGCTAATCATTGGACCTTTTTTCTCTCATGATCAATTCTTAAACCTGGAAACAAAATGTGAATGTTTATCTAATATATCATGTCTTGGAGTTTCAACTTGATTCAGGTGTCCAAAGTGAATGCAAATAAGTTTTTTTTTTCCTATCTGTTTTATAGTGATTAGTTTCAACATAAAGAAAGTTAGCAACTGAACTGCAACGAGTGTTTGATCTTAGGCCTTACCAGGCACATCAATGGCTGCAGAATGATACTTGCGAAACTCTTCTCTTCCCTTGGCCGTGCGATTTCCAATAGAAACCCCAAAATCGGAACCACGCGGGTACCCTCCCACAAACGCTTCTGGAAACACCACAAGCTGGGACCCATGCCCTACGGCTTCACCCAACAACCTTTCTGCCTTATCTGCACACAGAAATCACCAACCAATTTAATTTCCCAATAAATTACATAACTTCTCGAATCCGGAGCACCCCAGATGGCGCTTTCAACACAGAAACACGAAAAGAAAGGAAATTTGAGAAGAAAGAGAAAAAGGGGTAACGGATGAAAAGGGAAGAGTAGAAGGACCTAGAGTGGCTGGAGTGTCGTAGAAGATGGTGGAAGCTTGAATAACGGTGGCTCGAACAGTGGGGGCGTTGAAATCCGAAGCCATGTCAACTTCGGCGAACAGAGGCCCTTCGTTTATGGTTGGCTCTGTTGTTACGAGCGCCATCTCTTTCACAGCTTCACAACACTCTCTTCTGATCCTCTCTACTTCTTGTTTCAACCATCACGATCCTTCTTTTCTTATGGAACTTCAATTATTTCAAAAAACAACTTTTTCTTTTTGGTTAAAAGTTTAAAATCTTCTTGCTAGCCTCATTTCTTAATTAGGAGAAAATATTTAATGCAAATCCCTCCTAACCATTAACACCACAATTTTCAAAATAAAAGTAATTAAAATTTTATAGAAGTATGAAATTATATTAAAAAATAATTATATAATATCGTAATTTTTCTAATTATCATTACAAATAAATTTAATTTATTTACACTTTTATAAATAAAATAAATATTGTGATTAGATATATAAAGAAAGAAAAATAATATAATAAAATCATAAGTATTATATATATTTAAAGTTTTAGAGTTTCTATTTAATTATGTACTGTATTCGTTTAGGTTGAAAATATTTTTTTTAATTATTTATTTGTAGCAATTGATTCAATAATTTTTATATTTTAAATTTCTTTTTGTTAAATTAATATTAATAATGTTAATAGAATTATATTTAAAAAATCTAAGGAAAGTTTATGGGTTGGTCTATAAGGCTTTGGATATATTTGATTACGTAGGCTTTTGTAATAATATTTTTTTTTGTTTTGTGGATTTTTTTTTATCCCAACCTATCTAAACTATGACCAAATCATATTATATGGACCTATTTGATAGGTCTAATAAAGGGAAAATGTAACATCCCAATATCTCACGCTGGATAATTCATAATTTATATATTGTAACATTACTGTAATATCCAGTAATCTCACCCTTATAATTCATAGTTTCATATATGTCCTACACATGTTTTTAAACTCAAAATTCAACTATGACCTCATAAATATAATTGCATTCTCTAACTTTTCTTCTGTTATCTCTCTTTCATTGGCATCTGGATTCTGACTACATTCCTTCTCTGCTCCGTATACATCACCATTTACTTATCGCCTTCACATGCACAACACAAGTTAACAAAAGGGTGAGCTAACATGCACAAATCTTTCTAAACATGTATAATTACCCCAATTACCCTCGATAATAAACATCATATAATATTAATGTTCGCCACCCTCATCCACAATTCCTATTAGATACTCGTCTCACAATACCCAATAGCCACCACAAATCCCAATCGACACTCATCCGGATGATACTTGATGAGCGGTCACCGGGAGGGTTATCACTTGTAATGACTTCTACTTCTTTTTACAAATACACTTTCAAAATGACTTCATACCATTCCAAGGTTAATCAATCCCCTCACTTATGTCCAAACCGAGCACATAGACCAAGGACCTCCTGCTCCTCTACCACATAATTCATCCCCTCTACTTAGACTATGTTTTAGAGTATCAGGATAACCAACCTCTCAACTAACGGGGACCCTCAACACAACTATACACAATACCATAATATACTGATCTCTCCACGAGACTCATGGCCATTACTCTTTTCCTCAACTCACATTATAACCGCCTACAAAATCTCCCCATAATACTCATAACAGTTCAGATGCATAAATTCAAATGCAAAAATAAATACAATCATCGCATAAATCACACAAACTCAATATATTTGGCATAATAATAATTTAAAACAGTCCAATCTGTTCAATAGGATTAAGTTAAAACTTTCGAGTAGACTTTTCCATCCAGAAAGAGAGGTGCTCACACTGGACACCCAACTTAGTAACCAAGTCTTTTCTTAGCCAAAGTGTCGCTCAATTAGTTTTTTAACAAATTTCTTATTTACAGATTCAAAACAACATCATATAATATTTATAAATAATACCGAATTTCAACATAGATAAACATACCGTAAAATTAACAATATTCACAACAGAATTTCAATATATGACTAGTAATAAAATACTACAAAATCATAATAATAAAAGCAATAGAACTATAAATCATAAAAATAAACTAGAAAGGTTAGCTCCCTACCTTATTCCAGACTTAAGCTCCTGCTTCCGAATTTGTTTCCCCGAACACCCTTCAGAACCTCTACTCTCTTGCAAAACTAAAATTTCTTTCTCCCTAACTCTTTCTTCTCTATTTCTCAAGCTCTCACTTGATTCCTCTTCTCTTGGTGCAGAATAACCTTCCCTCCCATGGCTATTTATAATAAAAAAAAAATTTACTATTCATTAATATTTTAATATTATTTATTATTTTAATATTATTTAAAATAATATTTCAATCATTTTCTCACCAAATCTGATCCTAATTTCTACCTACTACTTTCTTCCCTCAAATAATCCAAATGCTGAAAATTGATTTTTCCTAACTATTCATTTTTACTATTTACTATTAACTTACTTTTTACTATTTACTTGTACTTTTTACTATTCAATTTAAAAAAAAATTACTAAATAAGTTACAAAATTTGAACCTCTCCTTCTAAAATTACTATAATTTTATATCCAAAACTTACATTTTTCTATCCATTAAAATTATTATTATTAATAAAATACTAAAATTTACTATTATAAATATTTTTCATGGGTCTACAGTCTCCCCAACAACACAAATTTTTCGTCCTCGAAAATTCGACACTTCAAAAATAAATTGGGATAAGAATGTTTTACATCATCTTCTAATTCCCATGTATAGTCACCTGTTTTCCTATTCCAAACCCCTCTGACTAAGTTGACATTTCTCCAAACCATTTTATCATATGACCTTCTATACCGAATGGTTAAATTTTTTTTTTTTTTTTTTTTTTTTAAATACCGATACTATTGGCAGCCCCGGTACTTCCTGAACTGAACTGTGGGCACAGACAGTGAGATTTTGGCTATATAAGGCGGAGCGAAACCGCGTTGAGCGAACCCCCACACTTTGAGGTCGTTTGCCGATTTTTGAGTGTGTGAGAGAGTGTGAGATCTTCTAAGTGAGAGAGCTTTTCGATGCGCTCCTCTGGGTGTGAGTGAATCTAGCGCTGAGAGTTCTGAGTGTGAGAGCTTGTGGGATTAGAACGACTGAGTGGTGATAGATCGTAGAGCCTTTTCTGCAAGCTTCATCTTTATGTTCTCAGGCTTTGCTCCGCCTCGAGTTAAGTACTTCACTACTTTTCTTTTCTCTTATCTTTTCCTTTCCTTTACCAGCTTCTTCTCCTTCTTCTTTCCTTCTTGCTTCTTTTCTTTCTTTCCTTTCTTCTTCTACTATTTTTCATTTTTTTAATTAACTAAAACTAAGAATACACTTTCTTAACAAAGATAGGGTATATCAGGCTGAAACCAGACGTTTAATCTTCCCTTCGTTGCAGGTAATGGCAGAAGACAATCGGAGAACAACGCCACTACCCCATAAAAATGAAACTTTAGAAAAAGAAACTTTAATATGTATCACAAAATGGACACGAACGTAGATCCGTTTAGGGAAATTTCGAGGACCGTGAAAAGATCTATTTTTGACATTGAGACTTCAAAAGTGGACAATGAACTTGAAAAAACTAACAAGAAGAAGCAAAATAAAAAAACTTAACTTAAATTGGAACCTGACTTCACTGTAATAAATCTTTTTACTTTTACTTTACTTTATGCACAAAAACTTAGAAAATGGATATATGGAACCAAGACAGTTTATAAACGATGCGATCTACATAAACTAAAATACTAACCCCGGAACCAGTTTGAATCATTGCTGAACTTACAACCATTGGATCCTTAAATCCTAGTCGCGATCAAGTTCGCTATATTAACAAAAGGAACACTCCAGGAGTCCGGGGAAGTCGGATAATACAAATCGTCCTATTGTTTGGTTTCAAAACCAATGGAAATCGGTGAAGAATCGAGGCTGGCAACAAGACGTCTAGTACACAATCGGGACCTTCATTTTTCCCTCCCTTATTCCCTTCGGATCTGTATGGTAATCTTCTTTCCTTTCCTCCTCTTCTTTCTTTCCCTTTATTTATTTTATTGGTTTAATTTGTTTATTGATTTTTATTTATCTCTAACTACAATTATTTTTGCATACCGTAGATCCTTCATGGGTACTTCCACGGACTCCGAAGCTGCTCTAGTCCTCTTTCCCATTCCCGCCTATACTAAAGAGGAGGAAAGTTACTCCACCTATGTTGTTTCGTACCCAAGCTCCTTCCACAGAGCTTTCTTTGAGGTTGTCGTTCGCCGATCAGTAGTCTCCTTAGGGGGACTATTTTTATTTACTGTATTTTATGGACTGTACTCTTAATGGTCACTTGTGGCCAACTCGTGAACATTTTATTTTTATTTAGACTGTAATCTTTACCTGCTTTGTTTTATATTCTAAGTTAATGATTTTTTTTTTTTTTTTACTCTGCTCAATTGTTGTTTTCTTCTTTTCAGCAATATTCTCTATATGTTCAATCTTCCTCCCTCGTTCTATACTAAGGTAAAATTTGGACACTGGAAGAGTTGTATTAATTTTGGGTATTTTACAAGACTTAAGACATAATGACATTCCAAGGCTTAGGAGAAAACATCTATTATTGTATTTTTATTTTATTTATTGATATGTTTTTTTCACACATAATGAAATTAAATATTATTTAGTTTTCCTTGATTCATTTTCATCTTCTTATTATCTTTAATATGTTCATTTGGGGGTACAAATTAAAAAACCGATTTAATTTGCAATGGTCGTTATTACTTTAATTAACTTAACTTGGTATCTACACTTAAATTTTAAGACCTATCTAATATAATTTATACACTATCCAGAATTACTTTAGAGTAAGCCTTATAACTCGTATCCTATACCGAACCCCTAAAATATAATTACACAAGTAAAATAATAGTTGAGAATGCATCAAAATGTTGATAAATTTGAAGTTCACTCAAAACAACCACGAATCGCTATATAACCATAAAATATAACAAGGCAGTATATGTTTCATCATATGAATTATGAAATCAATGAGTCAGTCGTATACAGACATAATATAATGTAAATTTCATCACATAAACTAATAATAACGATAATCTCATGTGAAAACCGTAGCAAAGATTGACTTCATTTACATTAATAATTATATTCATACCTAGTTCAACATATA